CACACACACACACACACACACACACACACGAACACAAACACGTAATTGATAATGCAATGACTTCACATTTTAACAACAACCAATCCCATTGTGGTGTGAACCAGGGACATTGCTACACGTCCAAGGTGAATGCTGATGTAAATACGGGTGGACTATTCAATTAGCAACGGATGCTATCACCGAGTCGGAAGAAGATGCATTGCGGCAATGGGAAAATAAGTTCAACAATTACAAAACACTGTCAAGCACCAAGAATCCAGCGACGCGAGAGGAGTTAAGATTCACGGTCCACGATATGAGTATTCTAATGAGTGGCACACGATGGTTAAACGATGACATTATAAACTTCTACAGCAATATGATAAAGGTTGACAACATGTGTAGGACCTCCCATCGACAGTGCGATACGCAATCTAACATGTCCGCGAAGTACGCAAAGGGTTTGATTCCGTGAACAACTGTGTGTAACTCTTTCTTTTTGGTCAAGCTCGTGGATGACAACTTCGGATATCACTATGACAACGTAGCTAAATGGTTCAAAGACGTATTGATCGCAGATACAGACTTGATTTTCGCCCCATACCATAACACTTATGAAAAGCATTGGACACTTGTTGCAGTAGACCTTCGACGAAAAGTTATAGAGTACTACGATTCGATGGAACCAAACTCTGACGTTGCAAAAAACGTTGTCAATAACTTCGCAAGGTACGTGTACGATCGATCAATACAATAAGGAAAGCAAGTCAACACTAGACGTTTCAAAAAGGTATTAGAGGTGGTTGGTATCCCAAAACAGAAAGACAATCATCAGTGTGGAGTATTTGTGCTAGCATATGCATCTCTTTTGGCAAGAGGTCGTTTGCCACCATTCGAATTTGATTTGCACGATATCCAACGTATTAGACGATAGATCACACTAGACTCAATAACAACTAGAGAGGATGCGTAAAATGTGACGGATTGCAGAGGAGATTAAAGCGGTTGAAAGGTGACAGTCATTGAATTGTTCAGTTGCAAGTCACTTATGGCAGTTTGCAAATGTACAATGTTATGTACAATATGAAATGCTCAAATTGACAGATCGCAAATACAGCGACACAAACATGAAACTTCTACGTAGACAGATAACAAGTACAGGTCAATGTGAGGTCTGCATATGTATGGTCTATGTGAGGTCTGGATATGTATAGTCTATGTGGAGAGCAGAATGTATCATATACCATAAGCATATGTATGGTGTATGCGGTATGATGTGCATATGTATGGTGTATGCAGTATGATGTGCATATGTATGGTGTATGCGGTATGATGTGCATATGTATGGTGTATGCGGTATGATGTGCATGTGTATGGTGTATGCGATATGATGTGCATATGTATGGTGTATGCAGCATGATGTACCTCCTAATGGTGTACGGTACATGATAGTTCACCTACCATATATGGTCCATGTGGTACCATACGACTACAACCTACCATGGTCTACATATAAAGCCAGAAGTCACGATTTTGGAGGAAAATTCTGTACATTTCTCACTTGATTCAATTTCGTGATTTTAGAAAAAAATGTCAGTTTTAACGAAATGTTAGTTTCACGTTCAATGCCTCAACCATGACAATCTTACACGGTTGCCAGGTACGGCAACTGCTAACCCCAAATGGTGAAGTTTGGATGCCAGCGAACTATGACAAATAGTACATGGGACTTGCATTTGCGTCGGAAAGGCTGAAAAACGCAAATGTTTCTTTGAATGGTATTTCGTTGTAATCCGCTGGAATCTGAACTTCATCACCATGTCTTCAACGATAGTAGCAAGATTGGGGGGGCGAGGCTGGTGAATTGTCGACCATGAATTGTGAAGTTCGAATTTTGATCGAACTACAACAATTAGCTACTGGACACCTGTATAGAGGAAGACATATGTGTTGGCCTCTGAAAGTGCCATTGCTCTTTATAGGTGGTGGAAGAGACATGTGGTGCTCTCGCTCACTAACACACCAGCCCGTTCTCTTGTATATCGAACACGCATTCGTGAGTTTCATGATCGGGGCATCAGTGCCTGGACACGTGTCGTCCATATGGAACGGTGGCGGCATTGTTCGTTAACAAACAATGTTGTCGATGACGAATGAGGTTCTCGTCGAAACAGAGAGATGACCCGATGATGGTAGCACTTATAACATTTTTCACTGACGAACACTGTCATGATGGGGATGACATAATGCAATGATTATGAAGCACCCTACGCCACGTGGCCCGATCATAACTGTGAGTACATGTGGCGTAATTGCAGTGGCATGTGTCGATGACAAACCTCAGTGGGCAGAAATTTACGTAACCTAATGACGGGCTGCTAAACATTTTTCGCCATGCGCCGATGGGCCTTTCCACCCGATAGGACCAAAAGCGAGGCCGGGGCCATTGATAGCCAAACGATTTGCGCATAGGACGATCAGGCTTCGACTTGCGGGGTGGGCCTGCATGAGGTGAGTCGGAATGCCGGCCAACCTTGAGGCGCCTGCTGGAAATACCTTTCGGGTGATCGACGCAGCGTAGAAGCTCTGCCATTTCTCACACACTTTCTTACGCGATGGCGCCTTCACTATGTCTACGTCGACATCAACGGCAACTCCGCTAAGACATCACTGCCTGCCAACACTGACCTCCAAGGTACGTTATGTACCACGACTGACCCACGACATCATCGTCCACGTCAAGTTCGTCGTCAACATCTCGAATGACCGTAGGCCATGGCGTCTCCACACGTCACTCGCATGTTCAGCTTCATTACTTGCCCGCGCACGTATTCGAGGAGTTGAAGAATCCTTCGCGCTGGTTGCTCGTTTCATGCTCGCCTCCTGCCGTTTCATGGACATGACGATGACCATCATGCGAGCAAGAGAGAGAGAGACAACAAATGAGCGAGAGGAAGACAAAAGTAGACAAATGCCTGTAGACATATGTAGAGAGGGAGAGAGAGACAGAGACAAAGAAAGAGCAAAGGAAAGATGTGAAATCTGCAGTGGCGATGTTGCCCAACGGCCAGCGTCTCTGTTCAGCACATCGGTGCACAAGTCGACAGGTTCTGACGGCCATCGTCAAGTGAATGTCACGACAGTCAAGACCTGCGCGAACGAGTCTTGAGGTCCTTGGAACCTTGTGCGGTCACCATTGCATATTTGAAAAATGGGCCACGGATAGTTGTGGTGAATGATGATGCCTTAGCGTAGTTGCGGAGAGCGACGGAGCTTGTGTAGCAGAGCTGCATGCGCAGGTGATAGTGCTCATGGAATAGAAGAGCATCTGCGTGGCAACAATGTCCCGGAAGTTGTTTCCGGCTGGCACGACACGGATCGCCCGAAAACTGACGATCCACAAGTAGGCTCACTGCAATTGGCTGCTCTGTCTCTCAGCTCCTTGATTGATCGTCATTCGCCGCGTCAGGTTTGATTGCTATACTGCCCGATTGATTGGCGCCAGACCAAAGTTTCTTAACAATAAAATAATAATAATAATAATAATAATAATAATAATAATAATAATAAAATAATAATATAATAATAAAAGCTTTATCAGAGCCTCTCCCCTTCAATTAGAAAAAACAAAAAGAAAAAAAAACTTAGGGTTGAAAAAAAACAGGGGTAGCAAATTGGAAAGACAATACCTGGGTACCCTGCCATTTGTGAAATTGTCCCAACAACGCTAAAGTAGGCCAGGGATGCCTGCAATTCTCTTCTTTGAGCTCACAGATTCTGGAATTTTTTTTTTGTTGCCAACACCTCTTGAGGTGCTGCCAAATTGCTCAAGCCAGCAGCCCTTTAGGCCGCTGACATTTGCCATACCAATTCCGAATTTGATGGGTGGTGATGTGGCGATGCTTGGGACTTCCTGAGCATGCCACCAGGACAAGTAGGCAGCGTGCGATCTTGCACCTTGCTTATCCAATTGACGAACCTGATGATTTTGACTGACCAGATATAGATGCGAACAGTGTCGCTGAGGTTGTTACCCATAATCAGGGAGGGTAGTATGATTGGGAGGGAGGGCGGAAGCAGCGGGAGAATCTCCTGCTTTGATACCATTGTGACCTATCTGCGGGTGCAGGTGCGACAGGCTACGAGAGAGACAGAGAGAGCTGGACACAATCACACAAGATGTAGCAGCTGAACCTGAAGGTGGGCTCTATAGACAGGTTGAAACTAAAATGAGCAAAAATGCTAGGCTACTTGAGTTGTGTGGCTGTGCAGCACAGCTGTGCACCTGGCACAAGTAGCCTGGGGGTCACCTGCACAGGGCACCCCGTCCAGGCAAAAATCAGCCCTTCTTTTTTTGGGGGGGGGGGGGGGGGGGGGTAAGTACGTTTATGTCACCTTTGAATATCGAATGGGCAAAAAAACACGCGTCGGCAAAGAAAACCGCGCTGAGTTCGAAAAGGCAACGGAAGAACGGACGGTCGTGGTGTCAGACCGGGTGTCATATTTACAGGGTCTGGCCGAGGTGTCAGAGGGGAACAAAAAGAAAGAAAGAAAATGCCCAACGGATACTGTTGGACCTAAATCGCTCTTTCGAGTTGGCGCCTGTTTTTTTTGCCCTTAGGGTTGCGAAACATGCCGTGTCCGCCGTTATTTTTTTATTATTATTTTTTTAAAGTGGAGCACCTCTGCACGCTCCAGCCTCCGAGTTTGTTGGAATCCCGGCTGTCTTTCTTTTGTAAAATGCTTCTAGGTTTTGCCCGAACCAGGCTTCAAAAAGCTCGAACAGACCAAAGACAGACTCAAAACAGACTCAAAGCAGGTTGAAAATGGGATCACAGAGACTGAAAGGGACCTGTCCACTAGAACAGACTAAAAAAAGACTAACACATATGATACATCTTTTATATAACAAAGAAAGCTTCTCCCACACACAGGTCTAAATGAGTCAAATACGGGAGCGAAGGCCACTCAGGCTAATTTATTTATTTTTATTTCACGTTTACAACAATATATTTCTATATAGGATACATCCTAATAAGAGGTGTTAAACGTGTGCTTGAAGCTAGTTTTCAGCACTCAACAAATATGTTTGTTAATAGGAACTAAAGCAGAACCATTTTAACTAATAATATGACAACTGCCTCTGGACAAAGGATAGCGGTTGGGTTCTTGACTGTGCTTGAGTTTGTCTTTTGTCCTTTCATGGCTGTCAGTTTCTCTTCCGAGGTGTACATAACTGTGTGTGCATGAGGGGTTACTTGAGAAATTGTTTTGGGGAGAGGCCTGTTTGGCACGAGAGCTTCCTTTCACTATGATCGTTCTGTATTACTATCTGTACAATTAAAGGTTGCAGATGTCTATGACAAAGGAGGCAAGTGAGTTGGTATTTTTTATGGCTGCA